TTAAGAGTCATACAAGGGACGAAATGCGCATTCTGGATTCTAACTCTAGTCCTTATTTACAAAATAAAATTATATTTCAGATTTTTAATAGCTCATAGGTATTGTCTGTCGGTTTTATTCTTCTAACAAATTAAGAACTAATGAAGAGGATGTATGTTGGTGTTGTTTGTGTTCTCTGACCTGGGATTTTTTATTTTTTAAGCTTTCACTGACGTCTCTTGGTATTGTTAACTCTCATAGCTATTTAATATGTTTGCAGCCCACTGATTCGTAATGGTCCTACTAAACTTGTAAGAATGAATAATCTTGGGTGACAGCGTGTCCCAATACATGAGGCGACTGCTTCTGAGACTTTCAGTACGAACTACCACTCCCTAGGAAATAAAACTAACTACCTGCAGTCATTAATCAAACAGTTATTTCTTTGAGTCGCAAAATATACTCTTGCACTTTTTTCTAATTGGCTTGCGAACAGATGTCATGCATCTCTCGAAGGAGACAAAGAAGAAATATCATAAATGATTGCTTTACGCTTCAGATCAGAAGACATTCAGTCACACAACCTACTGTCAATTAGTATTTTACTTGGAGATGCTGGACGAAAAGAAAATATTATGCAGTAAATTCGGCCGAGAATTCCATAAATTTCATAACTGCTGACCAAAACAAAGCTATTACTATTATGTACTCCGTAATTATACAGGTAAACACTAAGAGATATGAGTTTGTCCCGCGTCTAAATATGATCTACTACCAAGATAAATGAATATAATGTAATTAGTGAGGTTAGATATTTGTGATTGGACACTGGTCAGTAACTAGTATAATGTGTCTAGTCCTTTGTATGGTGCAGATTAAATTCTGTTAGTCAAGTTTGCAATGTGGCCGCCATGCCACTGGGTGGCTCGCCATCACGATACACTTTGAATTGTTGATATTAGATGGTTAGAGGCAATCGGCAGGAAGCCTTCGACGTCAGAAGAGAGGGACATGAGTCCCTTCAAGCTTTCAGATACGCCTTGCTGACTGATGAGTGCCAACTAGCACGAAACCTAATTCAACAAAGGCTTCCTTCCGATTCCCTCTAACCATCTAATACCAACAGATCTACATTTTTGATAATGAAATCTGTTTAGAAAAAAGAATATGAGGATATAAGAAAATGTAAACACTTTAAAATTTAAATGATTAGGGGTGTTTTTAGTACAATAAAATATGAATCTTCAAGTTGTTATTTAAACTTAACACATCGTTTTTCAGTTACCTTAATATAGACAGTAAATCAAACTTATTTTAATAACAATAATAACAATAACAGGAACATCTACATTCTGAATAAAATGATTACACACAGTACAGAACTGTCATGTCACTTTATTGCATAATATTTAGCCTTTGAACTGGATCGTCAAGTAAACTAGCAGCTGACAGTATATCACGTGATGCGACGCTATCCTAGCTGGAGTAGATACCAATCCCTAATGGTATAGTTCCCTAATCGTATTTGATAAATGAATAGGAGTAGGTCAGTTAAAAATGTTTATGAGTAAATATTAAGATGTGTAGAAAACTGAAGGATTAAGACAGTAAGAAGTGAAGAAAGTCTGCTATGTATTTAATTGGATAGAAATTTTCGTAGTCCAGTGATTTCAGCAGGAAGGCGGTATGCGTATTTAGCGTAAATAACCTATAATGGCTGTCTGTTGTTACGTAAAGTTTAACTAACTAAAAATTATTTCATAGGTGTTAGTGTAACAGTAGAAGACGAAAGACTTGGTTAAGGAACGTTTTGAACAATTAGTTCCCTTTATGAATTTAGACAAAGCAATAAGGAGACTTAATTCGTCTGGATTGTGTAATGTATTTGGACAACACAGTTTGAATGTACTTGTGGCCATAAATACATAGGGAGGACTTATCGATCTCTGCAGGTAAGGACATCAGAGCATGCTCCTAAATGGCTTCAGAAGAAAATAGAATCCCTAGAACCTACTAGTGGTGAGAACATGTGACCTGGCCCCTCTTTTGCGAAACATATTATAGAGAGAGGACATAAAATAGATGTTTACATGTCTTTTAAACCTATCTATAGGACGTATTTGGAGGATATCCTAAAGTTTGTGGAAGCCCTAGCAATTAGAAAGTTTAAACCACATTTATGCGTTCAAAACAATTTGTCATCACACTAAACCCTCCTTGGTAAACTTTATTTTGATACCAGGATAGATGTTACCTCTCTTATTTGGTTTGGTGATCTTAATTGATATTCTGACCTTCAATATGTCCTTTTAACCTGACCTAAGTCTATTTTCTCATATTTTCATGCATATTCCAATGACACGTCCGTCTGTGATCAAATACATTGCATGATTGGGATATATAACGCCGTCTTATTGATTTATCTAAGAAGAATAGTTTATTAGCAATTAGGTATTTGTATTTAGCCAAATTATACACACCTTTCTCTTCAACGAATCATTTGCACAAACCTTTCGTGGTGTGCTACTTCTGACTTTCATATTTTGTTTTTTTGTGTTCCTTTCATGTCTTCTATGTATCTCCACAACGCTGTATAATTCGCCTTCTCTGACATCAAACCTATCTCGCCACCATCTGATGTTTTTTGTGCCGATTAACATCTCTTTATATATATATATATATACATACTATTGTTAAATCCTTTCAGTAGCATACGCCGCAGTAATTTTAATACTCTAATACTACAATTTATGGTGGTCTAGGATTTTTCGCTAATGATACTATAAAAAATAGCAACAGAAAAAAGTGTGCCAGGAAGTAGAAATTAAAACTCCTTCCTTAATTACTGCAAGTTAACTGACATAATAATTTTATTCATTGTAGTATTAATATACATTTGCTGATTGAAAGAGTTAGCTAAAATGAAAAGCATCACTGTAATGATTTAAAAGTGATTTTTTAAGAGTTCTGTAAATATTACACATATTTGTTTAAGTTAAAATATAAAATGAAGATATGAAACAGTAATAACAAACTGTTTGACATGAATATTTTTAGAAGCAATTAAGTACAACTTTAAATTGAAAATTTGATGGAATCTTTTAATGTGACTATGGACTATGGCTGTTCTTTAAAATACTAATATGCTAAAATTTGAAAGGCACATTTTGCAATACTTATAGTATAACTGTGCACAATCGCACTGGATTTGTTCTCTAATTTACATTAATCAAACAATTTTATAAATGTCTACTTCTCACTCAGCGCTCAGTTATTTTGCAACTATCCGGTCAAATCTTGATCACAGTTCATATGAATCAAACTTATCACTGAGGAGATTTCTAAGGGAATGAGTTATACAACTATTGTTCCAGCTATAGACCCTACGTCATCAAATTAGTTTTCCTTCCTTTATGTCACAAGTAAAGCACAGGGCTTCAAACCTTAGCATTTAAGGTTCACCAGCAGTAGTGTTTCTTAACGTGGTGAGGTTGCCAGTTTTGAACTTAACCTTCCCTCTTTATCAGGCTTAGTACCGGCTAAAAGAGGTTTAGGTGTCGACCGAGACAGGGCTGGTAAGCATTGTACCATTGAACTACTGACGTACAAAACTATCACACTGCTCTGTTGGTGGGGGTGGATATGCTGAGAAACAAACACAGAATTTCTCGCATGTGAAACATACCTTAATTCAGGAGTCTCTTTAAAGTGATTACGTGAATAAAAGACCAAGTTTATGTAGCCTTATTTTTGTGTACTCACCAGTAGGTGTGATAGTCCTTATTTTTAGCCGTTTGCCTGATGCAAACGTTAGGATGTTGGTGAATTTAAGTCTTGTGCAATACTATCAATTCCTACTTTTGTATCTTCTGGACCTTATTTGGTACGATTTCAAACGTTGAGTCTTTTTAAAACCGATATACTCAGTTTTGATTCAATCTATGAGTCGGAATAATTATTTATAATTATTATTTCTGTTATTTTATTCCATCACGTTCCGAGTGGAACGAACATAGGGCTTCAAGCTAGAGCTTTGAAGTTCCAGTAGCAGCAGTTTTAATTTTACAGGGGTTGGCTGCTAAATTCACGCCCAACCTTCCTTCCTACTACCGGTTTAACGAGGTTTAAGAGTGCATCAGCCAAGAATCGAGTCAAGGACCACATGAGTGTTTGGCGAGCGCTGGACCACCGATGCACAACTGGAATAATAGCGAACACTAAGTATTCCTCATTATTATTATTATTATTTCCTTTAATTCCTAGAGGGACATAGGGCTTCAGCCGTGCGTCTCCATTGCGTTCGGTTCTCTGCTAGAGTTTTCACCTGGCTCCAAGTCTGCTCACATGATTTCATCTCTTCACATGACCTCCTCCAAGTTACCCTTAGATAACCAACTCGCCGCTTCCCTTTCGGGTTTCACTCGAGCGATTGCTTGTCTAGTGATGACAATTGAGGGTTTTCTCAGAATATGGTCAATCCACCTCCATTTCTTCCTGCCTATTTGTTGCAAAATCGGTTCCTGCTAGGTGGGTTCGCTCCCAGATATCTCTGTTGCTGATCTTTTCTGGCCATCTGATCTTGAGTATTGAGCAAAGGCAGCTGTTGATGAAGGTCTGTATTTTGTTTCAGGTGCTCTTTATGACGCGCCAGGTTTCTGATCCGTATAATAGCACTGATTTCACATTGGAGTTGAAAATCCGGATCTCATTTTTCATGCTGAGTAGTGCTGTTGACCTCCACACAGACTTGAGAGTAGTGAAAGCTTGTCTTCCTTTCCCGATCCTTGCTTTGATATCCTCGTCAGTTCCGTCCACCTGTAGTTGAAACGATGCTTCCCAGGTAGGTAAAGGAGGTAGTATAATATAGTATAGGGTCTTCCGAAGAAATATAGACGTGTAAAACAAGTACACCTTTGAAGGAAGTTAATAAAACTTTCAGAAATAGCTATTTTTTAAAAATTTCATTTATACACCATATTACCCTATATAGTTGTCTGTGTATTTACCACTGTTAATTTCAGAAACAATCAGAACCCTCTGAATCAAGTAATCAAGAAGATATCTTATCAGATACTTCAAGTTCATTAGACAATCAACAGATTACCAAAATACCTGAAGAAATAAATAATAATAATAGTACTGAAGCAGCTATTAAAATCCAATCTAATTATAGAAATCATCTTGGCAGAAAACGTAGTCAAAGTATCACTAAAATAAAACGAGCCATATCTATTATTGATACTACAGATGAAATTATAAACGAATCAGACAGTGAATCTAGTCAACATCATCACGATTCATCATCAACAGAAACTTCAAGATTTGAATTAAAAGAAAATCAAACCTTCAAAGAATCATCTCTTGCAAAAACTCCTGAAATAGACGACAATCAAAGTAACAATTCTGTAGAAGAAGAAAAATCTTCTGATAAAGTTGATAACAATAATAAAACAGATAATCATTCAATTCCAGAAGAAAATTTAGAACCAGAAGAACCAACAGTTGACGAAGTAACAGAAAATTCTAACGAAATATTGACTGAAGATAAAAGTATTGCTGAAAATACAGATTCAGAGGTAAGTTCTCCTTTAATTTCCCTTAATGTGTGCTTGTACTTCAAATATAAAAGACAAAGTGTTTACTTTTAACAGTTTCCACAGAAGTGAAGGGTAGGTAATCAAACCATATGTATCTATTAATGTGGTCATACATGAAATTATGGAGATTATTCAACGTTCAGAATAACTACTTGTGATTTGAAATTACAACAGAGGTTGTATTCAAGGAAAACGTATTCTACTCTACACTGAGGCAAAGTAATATGAGTTTCCACGATCCTTCTTCGAAGCCAGTCGCTAGTTAGTATTGAAATAATTTACTAAAATTTGCTCATTTTTTCAAACAAATTAGAAAGGTATCATGAAATGCAGCACTTAAATGTTTTAGCATCTTGTCTGTGAATATCACTTTATTTGACAAAAAGGTAGACAAAGAATGCCGATTCCCTGTCAAAAACAGTGTTAGTGCTGCGAGGATCTTTTGTTTTGGATTAATGGAATGTATTTCAAACCCAATGATTATGTTCTGAAAATGAGAGTAACGGGGCTACACGCACACCCACACACACACACACTGTACTGAAGTTTGCTTCTCTCCACATCTATACTCATTCACTGAACTTTATTTCTTTTGCACGAAATTGAGAGGACTGAGTTCATTGGAAAACGATTATTGACTCTTCTACTTACTTACAAAATATTTTGATATTATTACTTAACTGAATTTCAGTGATAGAAAGTTCACACTTTTTGTTCCCGGAAATCTATTTTGTGCACCTTGGCATCTTACAGATCAGATCATAAATGTAACCATAAGTTGATGTAGGAAGGTTTGAACAAAATGCATATCAGAATGAAACTTTGCTGGGTGAAGTGAATTTAGTGTGCTCAAAATGTCTATTTCACAGTGTGTTCAAACTGCCCGCGTTTACTAAGATCGAATTATACTAGAAAAACACTGAAGGGAATTAAAATGAAGAGAAGACTGAACATCTCTGAAATGTTCTCTTATGAAGTTGCATCTCTAGAGATGATTAGATTTTTCAGTGTATGCCTCATCCTACAGCAGTGTCCACTGAGTGGACATTTTATGCTACAATACAAGGTCCTATTTGAGAATTTCTATCCGCTTCACTAAGTGTTCATAAACTAACTCAGAGGTAAGATGTATTGGTAAACACTAATTCAGTCATTAGATTATTTCGTCAAAAACCGATACTGGACATATTTGACTCACTATTATCAATCCCATAGTGTAACCCGGGGTATTCAAGTAATGATTGTCAAGAAACTGGAAAATCTAGCCATGGAAACTGCACTTTTACATATTACAGTTCTAAATTTTCTGCGCCTTTTTTTACCGGTAACTTTGAGTGAAACTGAATCTGTGTTTAAAATTAAGGAATCAATGAATGGTATGGGGAAAAGTATTTTACGGGACACCTAAATTTTTGCATAAGTGTAAAATGAAGACTTTCCAAAAATGCATGTAGCTCACCGAATAGTATTCAATCTAACCTTAATATCGATCAAAATAAGTCAGTTTAAAGTGTTGTGTGGTTAATAAGCTAAATAATAGGATACTAACACACACACACATCCTAGTGTACTATGATTCGATACTGTGTACTGAGAGGATAGGCCGCCGTGCAGAATTTCAAAAAATATAATTTTCAAACTACGGCACGCTTTGTGTTCCAAGTAGAACATAAGGCTTCAAGATTTTTGAGGTTGCAATAGCGATGGTCTTTTTTCGTGTTAGGTAACTAGAGGTAATTGGGTGGGAACCTCTGGACCTAGGTTTCGTGATGATTGGTGCTCGTTAGCTGAGCTGTTCGGGCTCGCTACTGACCTCATGTAGGACTGTAACGAATACTCTGATCGACAGTTAGGTAGTAGGTTACAAGTTTCATGCGTCTAGTCCATGAAACGGCGCATTCTGAATATTTTGAATAGCCCAATGGTGATATCTCTGACTAAAGCACTTGGCGATACGTGTTAGAATTTCAGAGGGGATATAATTTCCTTAAAGGTTTCAGGTACGCCTTGCCGATGAGTGCCAACAATTACGAAACTTAGATCAAGTGTTTCCTGTCAATCACCTCCAATGTTCTAACACCAATTCAGTGCTCACTGTGATGGTGAGTCACCGAACATGGTCTCCACGTTGCGCACTTGACTGACAGAATTCAGGATTAGACGCATGACACTAGTTACTACCAATCAAACATTTTGTTTTCTTTACAGTATGTGGCTGCTAACCTCAAACCCTATCTTTCCCGAGTCTACTAACGGACGAGTACATCGACCTAGATTTGAATCTAGGCAACTGAACCACTGAAGCACGTATAAAATACAGTAATTTGACATCTACTCTGTATAAGACTTTGCCAAAAGTAGCTGTGTTTATTTTGTATATCTAACGAGAAATTTAAAACGTCTACAATAAAATATTATTATTATTTCTACCTTGGGTTCCGAGTGAAACATAGGGCTTCAACAATCCATCTCCACTTTGTTCTATTCTCTGCTGTCCTATTCAGCTGGCTATTTCCACGATTGCTCATAATCTCTCATCTCCTCCTCGACACACAATCTCCTCCATGTCACCCTCGCACCGCGGACCCACTCGACGTTTCTCATTTGTGTTCCACATGAGCGATGGCCTGGTGCGAGATTTCATTCGACGGCCTCTTAAACGAATGCTCCGTCCATCTTCATTTTCTCCCATATACTTGTTGAGCAGTCGACTCTTGGTTAGTTTCTTGTTGCTAATTCTTCCTGGCCGGTTGGTCATTTGATCTTCAGTATGGCGTCAGCGAAAGCAGCTGCTGATGAGAGTCTGTACCAGCCTGTTGGAAATTCTTTTCGTGACCCGCAGTGCAAGTTCCTGACCTGTATAGAAGGAATGACTTCACATTTGTGTTGAAAATCCGAATATTGTTCTTTATGCTGAGGCGAAGTGCGGAAGATTTCCCAACGGGTTTCAGGTTGATGAAGGCGTATCTTGCCTTTCCGATTCTGGCCTTGACATCTTCATCTGTTCGGCTTGTGATCGAAACCGTGCTTCCTAGATAAGTGAAGGAAGTAACCTCTGTCAAATCTCTCCCACTAATGATTGTTGCTTTTGCTGTTGAGTGGTTATCTTCATCACCCCCGTCTTCTCTATGTTCATCTGGAGTCTTGTCTTCGCTTCTCTCTTCTTCGGCCAGTTTGTTAGTTCTCGCTAGCATGTATTCGAGTTTGTGCGTTATTAGACATAAATCATCCGCGAAATCTAGAGTCTTCTGATCGGTCCAACGTATTCCTGTCTTCTTTCTCCCTGTGAACAGTCTGACGCATAATCCAGTTCGCCATAATTAAGAATATCACCGGTGATAATAGACAGCAAGCTTGTCTTACTCCTGTACTCAATTTGAACGCCTCGGGGAGTTTCCGGTTGCGGATCCACTGACACGTGCACTGTGATATAGCCAGCTGTTGAATGAGGTTGATAAAGACATAGGAACTACACTCCGTAGTGCTGAAGCAGTTTCCAAATTACTTCTCGATCAACACTGTCTGTCGAAGGCCTTTTTGAAGTCGATGAAGTTGAGGTAGAGGTTTGACTGCCATTCTATGCTTTGTTTTGTTATAACGATGATGCGTGGAGTTGCAATTTGATCAGTACATGATTTGCGTTTCCTGAATCCAGCTTGTTTCGGTTAGCGGAGTTCCTTTATTCTCTCCAGGATGATGCGACACAGTATTTTACTTGGCGTGGGCAGGAGCATTATTCCACGCCAGTTCTTGCACGGGCCTAAGTCGCCCTTCTTTGACAGTTTGACGAGCTGGCCCCTCTTCCAATCAGTAGACACCTTACCTACTTTCCAAACCTTTTACAGTAAAGGAGTGAGAACATCTGCCGCAGCCTCTGGCTCCGTTTTCAGCGCTTCATGAGGAATGCCGTCTGGCCCTGCTGCCTTCCCTGACTTCAGTAGCTTGATCGCATTCAGGATTTCTTTTTCCGTTGGAGGAGTGGTGTCCACTGGCATTTCCGTGTGTTCTATTGGTGGCATTTTTGGGTGAGTTGCCAGTGGTGGTTGATTCAAGAGTCCTTTAGAGTGATCAGCCCACTGTTTGATTTGTTTCTCCTCCTTCGTGATCAGGTTCCCCTGAGCATCTTTTATTGGTTTCATCACCTGAGTGATCTCTGCCGGATAGAGACTTGGTTTTCTGATATGGTGTCCTGATGTCTCTTTTGCCTGTGGCCTGTTCTGCTTCAGCTGACAGCCAGTATGTCATAGAATTGTCTTTTGTCTTTTCCATAACTCACTCTTCTTCACTTCTTTATTCAGTGCAGTGTACACTGAACTTACATTATCCTTCTGTTGTCCACTTTTGCATTCAGTCATCTTCCCTTTCACCATTCTCCTCTCTTCTATTAGCCTCCAGGCAGGTATCCGTTGAGAGCCATTCTTTGTCTTGACTCTTCCTTCTTCGTAGAACAGTTGTACACGTTTCCTTGAACATCACCTTCAGAGAGTTCCAATGTTCTTCCACACAGGTTTCCTCCGTGATGCCACGTAGTGTCTCCGACTTCGCTCTGATCTGATCTGTAGTGAAGGCATCCCTTGTAGTTTCGTCCTTCAGTTTCTGAATGTTGAACTTGAATTTTGGCATGTCTCCAGTTATTCTGAAGGATTTCAGCTTCATGTTGAAGGTCCCTTGAACTATATGATGGTTTGAGCCCGCATCTCCTCCCCTTCTCGACTTTGTGTCCAGCAAGTTAGCTGTGTCTCCACTTCCTTTTAGCAGTATTGAGATGAAATCTATCCGGTTTGTGATGTGTGTATAACCTTGTGACTGTACACGCTACTTCCGATAGAATAAAAAATATTATAAAATATTAAATGATATTTTCCTAAAAATTATGCATTTTTTCAAGAAATATATCTGCCAGCATTATATTCCAGGATGGTGTATATTTGCAAACTTAGTTTTACTCTTTACCGTATACTTCTCAATAAGTCTCTAAA